AGGACTACAAAACTTCAGTGGTTTAGTTGTAACAGCTGACCAGGGGCCAAGAAAGCAAGGGAGTACTCACTCCACTACTTCACGGAGAAAGAATCGTTGGATGAAGGAGTAACGCCAAGCAGGGCAAGCATGAAGGGAAACAAATGTCTGTCAAGCTCTCTGATCTCAATCTCGGGTTTCCCCCAACCCTGCTTAGAAGAAAAACTGTACCCAACCAATGGCAGTACATCTGCAAACACACTTCCAAGAACATTTGGAGCACACATTTGGCTGGGTCCCTGCCTTGTCCCCTCAAATTTGCATGCTAAGGACATAACCCTGATTGGTACATCACGCATTTGTTATTACTCCAGGCGGTTTTGGATTAAGGCAGCAAGTACAAGCCTCTATTAAAGGGAGCAAACTACGTGGCCAACACTAAAAAACTTGGGTATTTGAGAATGAGTAATAGCAGCTGGGTTACTCAAAAAAGGTAAGTGGAGACAAAATCTCACAGGCCTCAGCTCAGCACAAACATCTACAGGCAACTAAGGAATGCCGAGAGAGAAATAGTCTTCCCCAGGGAAGACACACAACTGGTTGCCCAATACTAAACAGTTAGTTAACCCTGAAAACATGCATACAAGTTAACATCATGCAGATTAAACAGGTTATATTTAGGAATGTAGCATGCAGTAACAGGTAATGAAAAAAGAAGGCATGGATTTGAAAAAGAGCAGGAAGGCTATATTGTAGGGCCTGGAGGAAGGAAAGGAGATAGAAATACTTTAATTATAATCTCACTTTTTTTTTAATTATAAAAAAAATAAGTGAAAGGTAAGATTCAAACAAGTGAAACGAGAAACAGAAGTCAGGCTGTGGAGTTTGCACACTGGCTCATCGCTACCATTTCTTGAATCACTGCAGTTTGTTCGAAATGGAAATCAACACAAAATCTTAACAAGCAGTAACACATTTGCTGCATTCTCTTTGATGAAATCTGAGTACTGTCATCGGCATTGCTTAATACTCATGGTATCTAAGAATACTAAGGACTTTGCCAGGTATGATAGCGCATGCCTACAGTCCTAGCTGTTGGGAGGCCCCAAAGAAGCAGTTTATAGTATTCCAGCAAAGCTCTGGGGAACACTGTGGAAGACTGGGAGAAAAGATTGCAAAGGCTGGTAGACAGGAAGAAGGGCTGCAATGTCATCTTATGAACAGCCATTGCAGTCAAGAACTCCCCCAAACTGCTGATGACTGCAATGAGCCTGCTCAACAGCCAGAAAGCATGGACGAGGGACTCAGGGAGTCCTAATCCTCATTGTTCAACTATTTCCTACAAATAAATCCAGGGAAAGAGGGAGTCACTGCCATCAGCTGGGTACCCCAGTGGTGACCCCCGCCAGGCTCCAGTGGACAATCCTAAATCAGTGGTCACACAGATGGCTGCGACTAAACCAAATGGGTCACACAACAAAACCACATTGTGAATCTGGGAAAGGAATTGAGAGGGAAGAAGACAAGAGAGAGGAACCAGAGTGTAACTAGTATACACATGTATAAAACTGTAAAAGAGTTAATCTTAAAACATAGCAAGACAGTCACCTTGTTTAATAAAGAACAAAGAATGAAATAGTATAAACATATTAAATAATTTGGCAATTATTATTGTCAAATTAAAGTTAAAAGTTTACTTAAAAAACAGAAAATATTGCATTCTTTTGTAGTCTACATAGTCAAATTTTGTTACCCACATGGAATGGATTTCAGTGCCCTTTCCTTCACTAAAAACTGTTCTCAGTGTAAGGAGAGTTCTTGAACTCACATTGGTAAGGGTGAGGCACTCGAGTTTATGACATGTTCTTTCTCCTGGCAGGGCTGGGTAATAGGTGGTAAGGGAGGGAACTGACATTTATTGCGATTATACTACTTGCTGACGTTTTATTAATTCTAGATGAGCAAGAGGGAACTGACTGTAATGACCTTTGGGAAGGTTAATTGATTACAGCCACAAAGTAATGAGCCCTGAAAGGAACTTTTTGTAATAGTTCAGGCATGAGATAATGCGAGTGTGCAGTGGGGCTTGAGCAGTAACAAACAATGTGAGTTAATAAACTCATCTGTTCTAAGATAGCTTTTAGGCAAGTGAATACAGGGCAGTGCCAGGAAGATTTTCTTTTTTTTGTTATCTATTTGTTTATTTGTTTTTGAGACAGGGTTTCTCTGTGCAGCCTTGGCTGTCCTGGATTCACTTTGTAGACCAGGCTGGCCTCGAACTCATAGTGATCTGCCTGTCACTGCCTCCCCGAGTGCTGGGATGAAAGGTGTGTGCCACCGTGCCAGGCTGTGCCAGTTAGATTTTAAAGGAGACTGGAACATTAAAAGATGTGAGTCAGTGTTTGTATTTGGCCACACTGAGTTTGTAACACTGGAAATATTAATCCAAAAGTCATGTTATAAAGTAAAGAAAGAAAATATGTTTTTCTTCTCTTTTTCCCCCCCTCCGCACTTTAGAATTACTCAGTAAGTCCCCATGGCCCTGAGTACTGACATTAATAATAATAATAATAATAATAATAATAATAATAATAATAATAATAATAAATCCCAAAGGGCTGGTGGGATAGCTCATCAAGTAAAAGTGCTTGCTATACAAGTCCTCACGTGAAATCCCAGGAGCCCACAGTAGAAAGAAAGAACTGACTCTCAAAAGTTGAAAGGTTGTCTTTTTATCTCCAAAAGCCTGCTGTGCATAACCACCTGCACTGGCACACACTAATAATAAATTAAAAAATTAAAATATTTGATGGTGGGTTGCTTCCACCATTGTATCTTAAGGCTTTCATCGAAGAAAACTGAATATAAAAACCAGCAGGGCTACATGAAAACAGACATGTTAAAGAAACACAGCTAATAAGTTAGCTCTACTGCTCAAAACACTTGAGCATCTTGTGTTTGTAGTGTCAGTTTACTGAATGCTGACTAAATCTGCAACAGAACCTAATGCAGCCTTAAAAACAGATACTGGAAACAGAATATACAGGATTCTGCTTGGCTTCCTTTCCTGCCCTGTCCTCTTTCTAAACTTAGCTGATTCTCTCCAAATAACTCTCTCAGTCTTTATGCCCAAATGTTTGCTGGGCTGTTGAAGTATTGCTTCACCTAGAATGTTATCCAACATTCCTGGGATCTATTTTTTTCCCATCTATCAATTCCTATCTTCAACAGAAAGCACTTTACCCAAATACACCCAACCAGTGCTAACATTTCCTCCCCCTGAAACTTTGTTTCTAGGTCAAATAAAACAAGTCTTAGTGGCCTCTCACATAATGGAGAGGCCTCTTAGCTCTGCAGCACCATCCTCCAGAAAAAGCAAAGGGAAGATATGGATTATTGCTGCTTTCCTCAAAACACAGGACTAGTCAGACATGGTGGTGCATCCATTTGATCCTAGCACTAGGGAGACAGACCCAGGCAGATCTGTGAGTTTGAGGCCGGCTGGGTCTGCATAGAGCAGTGGATCTCAACCTTTCTAATGCCTTGACCCTTTAATACGGTTCCTCATGTTATGGTGACCCCAACTGTAAAATTATTTTGCTGCTACTTTCTGACTGTAATTTTGCTGTTATGAATTGCTATGTAAATATCTGGTATATAGGATATCTGATATCTGACCCCCTGAAAGTCTTGGCCAACAGGTTGAGAACCACTGAATTCCAGGACAGGAAGGATTATGTAGAGACCATGTCTCAAAACAACAAAACAAACAACAACAAAAACACAGGACTGATTAATCCCGGATACCACAGGTACTTAAATAGAAATCTCTGCCATCTACTACCCGTCAGTATATACCACAACATTATGACCCATTTATCTTGGCTTTGAAAATGTATTCCTTAAGCAATGCTTCAACCACTTCACCTGTAACTTTTTAATCGAATTATACCTCTGGTATGTGTGTACTCTAACTCAGAATAAAGGATTCTATTGATTAATCCTAACAAATACCTTTCTAAAGAAGTCGACAGTGGATGGGGGTTTTACCTCTTTCTAACTTGAACTGCCTGGATGGGCTGAGGAAAATGCAATTTCTTTTTTGGTGGGGGTGGTTACCTGAAATGTGGTGCTTTTAGACAAATACGTGCTTGGAACAAGCCCAAGGCTTGTAAATTATTGGAAGCACCAGTGGGTTTTAAAGTTCTATCTCTTGCAGCCGGTGTTTGGTTGAATGGTTTTTTGTTTTTTTGTGTTTCTTCTTTTAAAGAAACAAAACTGACTTTTTGTAGGACGATAGGTGGAAAAAGGAGTAGGGAGAAAAATGATAGCACAAATTCGGGTATACGACTCTCAACCTTTATGCTTTCACTATTGCAGACACACTGATAAAAATCTGTGCTTTTCCACACTGATAACTTTTCGGTACCGGACAAAATAAACTTTAAACTTAAAAGACACAACTTTCCTCTGTTCCTTGATTCCTCAGACGTTCATCGCTTCTTTCATCTGCAGAATGGTAAAATACCTCCCTCCTCCCCAGGATCCTACCTGCGGGATTTCTTCCCTGTGTCTCTAACAATCTACCTTCGGGAACGAGAAGGGGCCATCCTTCTAGGAGATGCCTCTAATGTGTTCGAACGTTTACTGCTGTTCCCGGGTTCCTCTCGTAGTGCAGGCTGGTCCGCCTGGATCCCGGGTTCTCCCGCACTCAGGCGCGTACTGGGATCCGCGCGCGCTGCCTGCACTCCAAGCACCATCAGCTGGGCTCGCGCCCTTCTTTCCCGTCCCCTCTCCAAGGACACTTCACACCGAGATTGCCTCGCGCCCACTTACCTACACTAAGCTGTGGGATGTGGAGGGGATGGAGGAGGAAAGGAAAGAGAAGCGGTCAGAAGCTGCAGTCTCCGCAGGAGCAGGCGCCACCGCTAGAGAAACCGGCGCCTCTCGTGGTGCAAGGAGGATGTGCACACGTCCTCCTCCGGGCACCCGTAGACTCCCCGCTAGCCTCACATGATTACCTTCCGGGTTGAAGTGCAGATGGACGAAAGCGCCGTCGTAGGCCCCCTAAAATCCTACACTTTCATGACCCCTCTCTCCGGACTCGAGCCGTTTCGGTGTCTCGCGCGTCTGTGCGGTCATACTAAGCGTCCTCCCCACCTTTACTTTAGCTTCTAGCGCCTCCAGGCTTTTACGGACCGGAAGAGCACTGTCATCAAAACAGCTTGATGGACATCTCCGGAAGTGATGCACAGGGTTCCGGGAGCGTGCTGGCGGGAGACGGGAAAGGCAGCGATTGACGCGGCAGCTGGAGGATGAAGAAGGAGCACGTTAGTCACTGTCAGTTCTCCTCGTGGTACCCGCTCTTCCGAAGCCTTACCATCAAGAGGTAGGATACCCGGAGGCGAACTGCGATGTCTGGGCCAACCCCATCCCCTTCCGAAAACTAGACCACAATCCAGGCCTTCTTACGGCTAGGTGGAAGCCGTGGTGTTGAGCTGTGGACTCCCCGTTGAGGTGGCAATAATGAAGTAGATCAGAATTTACCGTGCTACCTCCTCCGAATCAAGGAGCGTATCAAGGGAGGGCCATAGGCAGGATAAAATGAAAGATACTTTGGAATTGGCAGACCCTCAAGGCTATAACCACAACAAAACTGGATAGTCCGTCGTGCCGTTGACTGACAAACCCCTCTGGTGACAGTTGAGTTCTGTCACTGTGAAATGAAGGTCCTGACTTTCAAGTGTGTTGTGAGGCCCCAGTAAGGTAGTTTGTGTAGGAAAAATTAGATGGTTGCCTTGCTGCTGACGGTGCGGTGTGCTGAGAAGCGGTCCACCCGGAAAGAGTGGGATCGTGATCGTATTCGTTCTCCAGTTCTCTGGCCTGGAACAAGGAGTCTTATCCAGGTTTGCAGAATGCCTGGGGTGGACTGTTGGGTCCTTTATCCTATCGTTCAAATGTAAGGCAGCCAGGGGACTATCCCCAGACGTTCAAAAGTAGTCAAAATCTGAGGGATGTGGGTAAGACCAACAGGGACAGGCCAGTGCCTTAGGTATCCATGAGTAGGTAGGATTTTCTACCCTTTCCTTGTCCTTTAGGCCTACTTAGATTGCCAAGTATTTAGACATCAACCAAAATATCCCTCCCTTTTCATTCTGTCCTTTTTTTTTTTTTCTTTTTTTAGAAGGCTTGAAAGAGCACTTGCAGCCTATTCAAACGCTGTTTCTTTTCCATCTTGCTATTCAAACATAGAATCTCTTTCTAGTTATACATATGGTAGTGGAACTTACTAAAACAAAAAGAAGGGCTGTTGCTGCAGCAGTAATTCCTGTCGATCACAGGTTCTCCTTCCTCGCTGGTATTCCAGTCCTTCACTAACTTACATAATTAAAAGCAGGCTGTGGGTCTGAAATGACATTTGGGGTATTTGTGTTATTGTGACAGCTGGTTGGTTTACTTGTGAACTTGTCAGTCTTTTTTTTTTTTTTTTGGTGCTAAAAATCCATTCTTTGTTTTTTTTTTGTTTGTTTGTTTTTTCATTTTGTCTTTTTGAGAGTCTGGTTGTCCTTGAACTGGTGACTTTCCTACCTCAGCCTCTCAAGGGCTGGGGTTACAAGTGTGCACCACTATTCCCTGGCCTGCACTGAAAATTCTTAAAAACTGTCATTTGGTTTCTGGATAACTGTCTGCTGTAACCCCTGAATAGTGTTTGTTTTTGTTTTGTTTTGTTTTGTTCTGTTTTTGCCATAAGTGGAAAAAGCATACAGTGATTAGGAATTAGATTCTAGAGTCGGAATCCTGTCTGGGTTTACCAAATGAAGTTTAGGGAGATTAAGTAATTTGCTGAAGATGCTGATAGAACCAGAATTTAAAGCCAGACAGGAATAGGATTGTCACTAGCATTGCATGAGAGAAAATACTTAAAATGCTGCCTCTCTTTCTAGCACATAGTAAACACACACAAATGCTGCTTGTTGCCTTTTGTTTTTAATAAAGCCTCACTGAAGCAAATTACTTCACTTAAAATGTATGCTGTGCATGAAGAAGATAGTGAAGAGGAAATAAACCAATAAATGGGATTTTTCTGGCATCACAAGTCTATTCCTAATCTGTGTTGCCTAAAACCACCTTTAAAATGTTTATTTATTTATTTAATGTCTGTGGATGTGGGTGCGTGCATATTGGGCATGTGGAGGTTACAGGACAACTTTAAGGACTCTTTTCTTTTTCCATGTGAACCCTGGGGATTGAACCTTAAGTCTTCAGACTTGATGGCTTGTACCTGTACCTGATAAGCCATCCAGCCTGAAAGCCTTTATTCTCTATTAAACCATTTTCTCAGTCTGTTTAATTCAGTGGTGATATTGCCAGCACCTAGCAGAGCAGGACACCCCTTCTCCAGTCCAGATGGGTTACAAAAGGAGTCACATGGCAGCCACTGTCTGCTTCAATACTGAAAATACAAATCTACTATTGTTTTAGCATTATTATTTGATGTTTATTATTTTTGTTTGAGAGCTGATTGTGAAAATTCATTTTTAAAAATAATTTGTACTTATTCTTTCTGAATTTTATCCATGTATACAATGTCTTTTGATACTATTCACTCCCCTCCCACTCCTCTCAGGTCTAAGTAAGACAGTCCACCTCCTAACTTAGTGATGCCTGTGTGTGCAAGGGGTAGGGCCATCTGCTGGAGCTTGGGAGATCTTCCAGTGTCCGCATCACGGAAGAAAAATGACTCTCCTTCCTGCAGCCACCATCAGTAGCTCTCAGCTAGGAGTGGGGCTCAGAGCTCCTCCCCTGTTCATGTTAGAATTTCATCTGGCTAGATCTTTTGTAACCACAGCTTCTGGGAGTTCATGAGTGCAATGCCACGTCATGTCCAGAAAACAGCATTTCATAGTGTTCTGTTAGGGTTGTTCCCTGAGCCTTGGGTGTGAGGTTGCTGTAGTTGTGCTTTCCAGAAGGGAGCATTCGATAGTCACTCATTCTCAGCACTGTGGCCAGGGGTGATTGCTCTCTGCTTCTGTGGACTTGGCTAGGCTTTGTTTTATTTTCCTGTAAGAACTACTATGGTAATTGTAGGAACTGCAGTGTGCATTCTATTCTAGTATATCTATATTGTATTGTATTGTATTGTATTGTATTGTATTGTATTGTATTGTATTGTATTCTATCTATTCTATCTACATTCTACTAGTTCCTGGTTTTTGCTCCATTTCATATTAAAATGATATGGATACTTTTTTTTTTTTTTTTTTTACAAATAATTATAAAGTGAGTTGCGTGGAATCTTTTCTCTCCATTGTGGCTAGTCTTTAAGTGACGGCTTTTTTGTATTTTTTTTCCAGTGTCATTCTCCCACTTCCTCAGAATGTGAAAGACTATTTACTTGATGATGGGACTCTGGTGGTTTCAGGAAGGTAAAGTATATCAGAAAACAATTATTATTATTTTTTTTCCAACATAGCATTTTTACTGATTGTCTGGGAATTTCACATCATGCACCCCAATTATACTCACTTACCAGTCCTTTCGTATCTGCCTCCCCATCCTGTGAGCCCCTCATAGCAGAGGTGGTTCCAGTAGAGAGAGGTTCTGTAGCTTGGCAGTAACAAAGGACTGCAGATAGGCTGGAAGGGAAGGCTGAAAGGGCCTGCCAGGAAGAACTAGTCTTTTTATGTTCTTAACACACCAAAATACTGTCCTTATCATTAGTTAGTAAGTACAACTATTAAGGAAAGACACAAGCATACACATGAAAATTGAGATAAATGTTACCATTGAGATAATGTAAGAACAGTAGTAATTTTAGAGTAACAAAACACATTTAAATTTTATATCCTTATTTATTTTTATTGAATAAAGGTTTTGCTTTCATGTATGTATGTCTGTTTGCCATGGATGTGCCCAGTTGAGGTCAGAAGAAGGCATCAGATCCTCTGGAACAGGAGTTATAGGGGGCTGTGAGCCTTTGTGAGGGTGCTGGGAATCAAGCACAGGTCCTCTGCAAGAGCAGCCAGCATTGTTAACTGCTGAGCTATTTTTCTAGCCCCACATTTTCAAGCTTTTGAGGACCTTTGTGTTGTACGGTTAGACACACCATGTTAACGATAACATTTCATTGGAAATCACAGTGTAGTGTTTAGACAGGTGCGAGAGAAGGAAGGCCGGCTCAGTAGATCACAAGTGGACGGCACGATGTGGTGTCACTCCCTGTAAGGTAGTATCTGGTTCTTGGGCTTGTGGACCTGGAGGCTCAGTCCTTCACTGCTGGGGAGAGTTGGTTAGGACTGAGGAACTGATAGCACTACAGGTTGACTACAGATAAGCTAAGAGCGCCAGTTTTTATTTATGAAGGGGACCGTGCTTTCCTGGTTTTTGCCAGGACTTGGAAGAACACATTGTAGTGTGACATATGGTCAGAATCACTGTAGCTTCATATATCATGTATCATATATTATCACCATTTTTTCAGTGTTACCTCCACGCAGTATTATTTCTTGCGATGTTTGGAGACATAGTGCCCCATCATACACATGTGCATTTGTGTGCGAATACTGTGTAGGTGTGCCATGTTGTGCACAGGGAGGTCAGGAGACAATCTCAGGAGCTGGTTGTCACCTTTTCCCTTGTTTGAAATAGGTCTCTGTTGGTTTTTTTTTTGTTTTGGATGTGCCAGGCTGACTAGCCATAGCTTCCAGGGAGTGTGGGATTTGAACTTGAGTTCTCATGTTTGTATGGTAAGCCTTCTCCCCCACCTGACTTAGTTGTCTTCACAGTAACTGTAGTTAAAGCAGCACTAAGGAGAGTATCTTGTCATTGCTGTTGACTGCTGTAAGGCACATTTAGTTTTTTGTTGTTATGGTTTGTTTACTTTTAAGATACAAGTCTCACTATGTTGCCCAGGCTGGTCTTCTATTTCTGGGTTCAGTTGATTTCTTCAAGTTCAGTTTCTCAAGGAGATAGGAAGATAGGCAGGTATAACTGTTATGTTTAGCTAATCTTTTGTTTTCACTAGCACTGATAATTGTACTTTAAATTTTGCTTTATTTTCTCTATGTTTATCTCTGCTATTTTGTAGACATTCCTATAGACATGTATATACATTACATATATGAGACTTGTTTTCTACAGCTCCCTGTACAATTGGCAGAGCTCTAAGGCAGCTCTACTGTTGTTGGCTGGGACTTG